TAAATAAAATTTATTATCCATACCTATATTTTGTTATTTATTCCTCGCATACATCTACTTTTCAAATAAAAAAAAAGTTATTGCTTAATATTAAAAGTGTATTGCTTCCAATATTATTTATAAATTATTTATAAATAATTCTTGTTCACTTAATTTAAAAAAATCCTATCTCTCTAAAAGATTTATTATATTAAACAAGAAAATTTCTTCCTAATAAATTATTACATAAATATCAAGTATTTTTATTCACTTCTGTGCTAGCAAATTTTTTCCACATTTCCTCGAGATGATCTAGATATTAAAGATATAATTTCGCAACGGGAGCAGCGAAGATTTCGCATTTCAAGATAAGTTCCACATGCGTTTGGCTCATAGCCTATGTTTTAAAGTTATTTTTAACCCACTACGCTGTTGGAGAATGAGTTTTAAGTAGTAGGAAGACTTCGTGCGGCCCGTTGACTTATTCCTTCGTATCTCTCGTCCTGTATCTTAATTTTTGGTGAGTAATTATTGATTGGGATTTTGATGTTGATCAGAAAAAAAATTACATATTTATTGCAGTTACTCTCATTACAGTTGCATTTTTAGCGTAATCGATGGATTTCGTGAATTGTTCGGCGAAACGCTCTTCGAAAAGTTGCTGCGGTCGCGAGACTACGGTAGACAGTGAACTTGGAAGCTGCGATCACATTTACGCAAATTTGGTCGAATGCAAGAGCAAAGATATAAATACTGAAGATTTCGTTCATGTTGAACCAATGACGATAGCACCGAACAAACGGTAAGCGATGCGATCTTTAAATTAAACTTATTAATATGTGACATTTGATTTAACATATAAAGCCTCTTTGAATCGAGAGTTAAAATTACAATTATACTATGTAAAACATCAATCGCACAGCTGATGTGAATAGAATTTTTAAGACTTTTTTTATTTTTACAATATCTATAAATGTCCTTGATTATTTTCAGTAATGAAGATTCCAGAAAAAGATGTGTACCTTCGCCGAATTCGAATAGTTTTGCATACCAGTCTTCCCCCGTTTTCACTCGCAATAAAATGGGCAATAAAGTCGAAGAAAATCTGAGAGAACCGATGCATTCTTCACATAGGTTGCCGCACGACGCAGACTTCCAATGTCCTAGATGTGGGCACAGAATGGAGGAACCTAGACTCCTTCCTTGCTTGCATCCTATATGTTTATCTTGCGTTTACGAATTGATGAGCAAAAGTAAGTGGCAAAAAAAAAATTTGATTTCAACAAAAGAAAATACAATTCAATATTTTTAATAATAATATTAATGTAACTGTTATAATCATTGACTTTTGATTTGTTATAAAGACATATTAATAGAATTATATTCTTGCAGCTCCTTCAAAGAACGAAATACGAGATAAAAATCGAATTTACACACAACCCGATATTTACGAAACGTGTCCGTTATGCGACTCGCATTTGCCGAATGCTAATTCTGCTATACCACCACCGCATTATCCTTTACAACACCGTTCAGTTATGGACACCGTACGACGTAAACTGGTCAATAGAGTACTTTGTGATACCTGTACAGGCGAAGTTATGGTACAATTCGCGACGATTTAGATATTATTATTCCATTCTTTAAAATTTTAATTTTGTCGCAAAGTAGGAATGTTATATTATTTTCCGCATATTATTCTTTTAAGGCACTCATACAGTGTTCAACGTGTTTGCGCAATTTTTGCTCGGAATGCGGCAGGCAACATGAACAACAAAATATTGCGGAAGCAAGAACAATTAAACATTTAATGAAGCCACTATGGGAGGCTACTAAAGTACGACGAACGAGTTTATGTCAAATACACCCGACGCACGCTTTAAGATTCTATTGCATCGCATGTCAGCAGGTTTACAAAAATTTTTTCTTCCTACATATACTTTTTAATATTGCATTATGTATACAAAGGAAATGCAATCGACTTCAAACGATTAATACTTTCATTGAGACCATACAAATTCTTTTTCATATACTATATGACTTACTATTTTATAGGATTTATAAATAAACAATAATATATTTTCAGGTAACGTGCAAGGAATGCATGTGGAGTATACAGCATAGAGGTCACGCTAGTGAAGACGCTGTTGGAGTGGGAAAAAGAGTTGGTATGTACTTAGCAACAATGTTGCAGAAAGCAAGGATGTATCTAAATAATCTATTGATTCAATATAACCACGACGTATTTTCAACTAATGATCTTGAAGAAGCACACAATATAGCCAAGATTTGCAGGTATGTTCAGTTATTTTTGAATTAAAATATAAATTCTAAAACATTGTATAATGAGTTTTATACAATTCGTATTTGCACAGTGTATGATTTATATAACTTCCAGTTTTGTAATATAAATCTATAGATTTAAAATTTATTATACAATGTTTCAAAATTTATGAATGTTTTTTTATATATAATAAAAACAGCGTTCGATGTGTATAAGACCACGCACAAATGTGCATTCGCATTTATTAATGTTAGTACACTGTAATATAATTGTCATGTAATTAATATGGAAATAGTAAACGAAAAAGATATAATTGTCATTTGAGGTACAAAGCATACATTCCAAAGTTCTTTGACTGATACACAAACCGAATTATTATATATCTTAGAATTATTAAAATAATTATAAGATTTGAATATATTTTTGTTAATATAACATTAAACAATATTGAGCAAGAAGCAAGTTATGTATCACGACTGATGTATGTTTTGTTATGTTTAAGTTTAGTTAAATATATAGTACGAACATTTGTAACTAATAATAAATACAAATGTAAATAGCACCTGATTTTATGTATATACCTTATATATCTATATGTAAATATATTGACAAAGAAATATATAAAAAAAATATATATATATAAATTAACATAATTTATATATATATATTTTGTGTGTGTGTGTGTGTGTGTGTTGTGAGATTAATTGATATTAATTTATATACATTGTGTGTGTGTTACATACATTTCGCCTAAACAGCGATAAAATTAAGGTAAGACAAGCATAATATAATTCCATATTTTCTCTAGCCTTCTTACTTTTCTGCTTTTTTCGAACAGAGATGCTCAATAATCGTTACTTTGTTAAGTATTACTGCATGATTTAAATTATTAAGTTTAATGATCAATATAAGCGCGCGCGCTATTGCAGGATAGGATTTAAATATTGATAAGATTACCTTTTTACTTGAAATAAAAGGTTTTTGTGACTGAATTAATATACACTTTTGGAACTTAAAGTGAGAAGTATACATATTTTGTATTTAGCGAAAGCGAGAATTCTAGTATAGTCTAATGCAAGAATAAAAAACAGATCTAAAGTTTTATACAACTTTTAATCAGAAGTTTCTCATTTAAAAAAACTGCAGTTGTGTATAAAATTGTTTCAAAACTTATAAATCTAAATCTCAATTGATTAAACATATAAATATACTTAATCTTTTGAAACAATATTTTCATATTTTTAAAAAATCAAGGCGTAATTAATGTTTTCATTTTTTTTAAACTGAAATATCTAAATTATATATTCATACACAAAGATATATTTATTAATTTATTAAGACTTACAATATAAGTTGATGCACAGTTTTTCGTATAATTAAGCAACGTCCATTACGTAATATAGATCCACAACAAGACCAATGGTTAAAACCTGGATGTCCAATATGTCCATGGCCACAACCTTTGTAACCACCTTTATAAAAATTAATTTATCTTTTATCTAATTGCTTATGTCTAAATTGTGAATAGGGCCTATTAAAAATTGCTCTTTTTTGCAAATGTATTACAATACTATCGAATTAATATTATAAAAATTTATTTTTATGTTTAATACATGTTCCGTAGTTCTATTTAAAGATTTAATTTCTGAAATTATAATTCTTACCAGGCATGGTGCCTCTGCAGCCACAAATAATTTCTTTCTTTCCACCACTGGAGCAAAATGTACAACAGTGATAAATACCGCTATGTGTAAACCTCGAAGCTGATAATCTCGTATTTTTATACCAATATTCTACAAAAGGAATATAATACATATAAGTTTTTTTTATATGTATATAAAATTTATTCTATTATACATCGTAAAGAAAACTCATATATATCGAGTACATACCGTTTTCTTTATCTGTCGTTGTATTTGTCACACCTAACTTTTTTAATCTTCTCACTATTATTTCAGCAAGCGATAGTATTTCTATTTCGGAACCATCAGCAAGTAAATCATTTAGTAATGAAATGGCATCTAGAAGATGTCGCGCTTTTTGTAATCGTTCAAACTCTTGAATTCTTTCTCGGGCCTGTTTCATGTGAAGTAATATGATTTTGTAGTCTCGTAAATTTAAAACATCTGTATTATTCTCAAAGTATCTGTATAAAGAAAATTCTTATTTATTTCAAGCATCCCTCCAGATAGAGCTTCACATCTGTATCCTTAAAGATAATAATTATAAACACATGTGAACATTCGATAATATAAGGATCACTTAAATGGTAAAAATATGAACTATTTTTCTTTTATCGTATGTAAATATACAAAATGGGGTATTGCTCGATATAATGTATCTTGCGTTTTTGTCATGTGATATTCATTTTTATTTAAATATTTCGTTAAGTATTATTATTAACGTATATGAATGTAAAAGTAAAACCGTTTCATTGTCATTTGAGGTACTGTGTATTACATCAGCAGAATCGGTAAGAAGCATAATTTTTTAGCATTCCTTATATTTATCAATAATCTTATCTTACTTTAAAAATATTGTTAAAATTAATTAAAGCGGCGAAGCTTAGGCAAAGAATAAAGAGAAATTTCCAAGTACAAATAGATATCTTAAACCTTAAAGAAGCCCAAGTACTTTTATACATATAAACCTCCATTTTACATTATCTCCTAAGATAGAAAAATAGAAGAACTTATAGCCCTTGAGCTTAAAAATCTAAATAATAATTTTTTTCAGCATACATAGGTATGTAAAAGTAATTTAACTATATTATTATCAAGATATGGAAATGTTATATGCTGCAACTAAGAGCTACTCCTAGAAAGTCTTCAAATCCAATAGTGATTGATCCAGTTTGTTGCATATCTCTTGTCCTAAATGCCTCTGTAACATAAAATATAGTCAACGATGCTACAAATGCTTTGAAGCATTCTTCTATTGATCAATTTATAAAATTCTTTTTTGTTATTGATCAATCAAAAGCTTCAAAGCCTTTCTAGTAAGGCTTTGACATATTTTAATAAACGAACGTACTTAGATTATATTAAATATTGTCAACTATTGCATGTACAGATGTTTACAATACCAAATTTCTAAATAAATCAGTAAATGATAAAATTATATTCTATTCCTTCTACATAAGTATCTTCAATTACCTGTAAACCTCTGTATTTGAACACACAATACTATAAATTGATCGACGGTAATGGACTGATGACCACGAACATCGCTCTTTTTTATGAGGAATTGAATAAATTCTGAACTAAGCTTGTAGCCCATTTGTGTTAAGGCTGCGCTTAATTCATTCTCTTGTATACTACCCGAATTGTCATGATCAAAGCCACGAAATACGCCGAGCCAAGCATTTATGTAATTGTAAAGAGCTTGAAACTCCGTGATGTTTATAGTACCATCATTTTCTTTGTCAAACATGCCTGCAAAGGAAATAAAATTAATATTGCTGATATAACTTGTAAAAGGAAAATTCGACATATTATATTTTCTTTGTTGTACAAGATCTATAAACATACCAATCATTAATTTGCATGCTGTGTCAGAGAAAGTACCCCCTTGACCGTTGGCCAATGCAGACTGCAATTCTATAGCAGTTATTCGTCCACTTCCATCTCTGTCCACTGCGGAGAACCATCGTTGTACCTCTGGATTTATTTCTGATCCTGGATCAGTGGAGCCGTACATCGCGCTCTTGAAGGAACGGATAAGATAAATACAATAGAGGAAAATCGTAAAATCATACAAGCTGTAAATGAAATCAGGCGCCAACTTCTCGTCCGTGCGTCAGAGCTAATTGTATTAACTTAATGTGCGAGTATCAGGCGATTCGGGGATTTATAATAAACTGAAATGATAGAATAAAGCGTGCATCGTCGTATTGTCACTGCGTGCAAATGTAACCGTCACAATTGTTATTTAGAATTACCGGGTATGCCATAATTGAAACTTTCTAACCCTAAGACAGCGCACAAATTACACAGTATATATCGTGGCACTTTTATTAAAAGGTTTAGACCATTTTAGACTGTCATCAGCGTCATCATGAGACTCTGCGTATTACATAATATATACATTTGCATGATAATAACATCTTTGTCAAAACATATTGAACAGCTGTAAAAGAAACTTACGATCTTTATGACGTAGTACAGTACCGTGCTTAAATCAGCTTAAATGCTGTCCTTTTTTTAAGTGCAAAGGTGTAGGAATACTAGAAACAACACAATTTTAATGATTAACCAATATAATAAAGTGCATTCGACTAGAGCGGATTTGCACCAACCTAGGATTAATAACGTTGCATGCTCTCCTATTGGTAGAATATGTAACATCATCCAATAGTAGAACATTATCCAACTTAAATGGGAGCAAATCCGCTCGGATCAAAAACGCTATTAGGATAGGCAAGAATCTCAAATTACTTGTGACTTGGGACAATATGTATTATTTATTATTAAATTTTTTGGTATCCATCCATAATTGAATTTAACAAAAATACATGCTGTCCCAAGTCATCCACACTTGTCCCAATTCATCTATATTTACAGTTTATACCATTTGCGTTTTATTTTTATACAGATTAAATAAGTATACAACGGCCTTAAGTGCGCACTAGAGCTTCTAACAGAATTTATTTCGTTATTAATATGCATCAACAAAACATCTGTCATATTGATCTTCATAAAATAACAGGTGCAATATTATAAAAAGAAGTTAAAGGAGAGTTCAAGAGAAAAAGAAATTTTGCAACTGTTATAATAAAATTCTTAATATATATTTGATATTTGTAGCGAAAAGGAAAAAGAGAGTTCTAGTGTAGTCTAGTGTAAGAATAAAAAACAAACTTAGATCTATGCGTTGTTTAAAATCTTCAAAAATTTTTAATTAAAAATGAGATAGATATATACTTAAGCGTTGAAAAGAAAAGAAGCGAAGATGCCGAATGCAAAAAGTGTAAACGCGAATAAACCTTTTATTTTGACGTCATGAAAATGAAAAAATTATTTTTTGTTAGAAAATTTAATTATTTATCGACGTTAAGAATAAAAATTAAGTTATTTTGATTTTTTTATTGCCTTTTTGTGTGTTTAGATCAAGTGAGAGACTAAAAATTTTATAATCGCGAAGCTGTTCTTTGAAGCTGTTCTTTCACCTGAATACAATCAATATGCCATTAAGTTTTTAGCTAACTTCCATACTACGTTTAGAATACCAGTTCTCGTCCGATCACTGAAGTCAAGCAACGTTGGGCACGGTTAGTACTTGGATGGGTGACCGCCCGGGAATACCGTGTGATGTTGGCATCTTTTTTTTTTGCAGTTATTATTTTATTATAATGCGTGAAAAAGAAAGAGAGCAAAAACGAATAAAAACTTTCTAGTCATATGCGTTGATTAATCAGCAAATGATGCTTATATTTACTACTACATAGTAAAAACAAAATTTTAGAAGTGATAGAATCAAACTCTCGAGATCTTTACCATTTCAAGCAACTGTGTCGCCATCTTACAAGAAGAGTTATTACTTCAGCTAATTTTATGATTGATGCTTCTCACGTCGACATGTTTTGTACGTTTATAAGCAATAGCAATTCCGGACAGAAACAATAAGCTTTTATCTCTTCGTAGTTTGTTCTTATTTGCCAAACCTTCTCCGAATAGTTCGTTCTTTGCATCGTAGTCCTGCAAGCGAGAAAGTAGTCAACAACGTGTTACATTGGCAGCATTGCTTGCCTTACGCTTGTCAACTGTAGTAGACTGGGATGAATTGGAGTTATCGCGAGTGAGATTACTAATAATACTTTATTTTCGTAACAGTTCTGAGTCGAACGAAAAGAAAAGACTCTTGTATCGCGCCTTGGCTTTGGATAATCCGTTTCTGAGATAAGACG